CATTGCTCATCTCCGAGAGCCTCATCATGAAACCTTTCTTCACCAGGTCTTCATGAACCTTTCTCATCCCTTCTTTCATCCTATCAGGTTTCCTACACTGGGCTTTGTACACACTGATAGCCTGCCTGTAGTTGTTGTTGCCTCCATGCTTTTTCTTTAACACAGGTACAGGATCCAACATAAAGGGAAGTTTGACATGAACCTTGGCTTCCTCGTAGTTGATCATCACACTTTTTTCAATTACCTCTTGCTCCCTACTCTCCTGTAGTGAGATAGCTGTGGTTCGCGGGGATCTCCTGAACTGGATGCATGCTGAGCAGGTGGAGCATCTAAAAGAGATCAATCCTGCCGGGTCGTCTTGGTTGATTAACTCCCTCATCCGAGCTATTGGTACCTGGTCCCCTCTTATCCTGCAAACATGTGCTTCTAGGCCTGTTAACTCTGCTTGAGATGGGATTAATTCACGGTTCAACTCTGGTTCTGCTCCTAGTTGAGTGTAATCTGCTCGGCTCAGGGGTGTTGGATAGATACAGGTTCCTGTCTGCCTATCTACTACTATGGAGTAAGGGATTGATGTACCGATTAACCTCTCCTCCATTCTGCGGTTGATATGAAACAGCATGGGATACTTCTTCCTGTAGACCCCTATTGCCTCTTGTAAAGGACGCATGTGGGCCAGCAAATATGATCCTTGATCCGAATATGTCTTTAAAAGGGCTTTTATACACCCCTACCCCTGACTTTAAAGTTTTTATCAGAACTGGAACCAAGTTCGTGTTCTTGATACCTATTAACAAGCTGACCTTCCCCCCCCCCACATATTTAGGTAGTGGAAGGTTCCCTTCCTCTTGACTCGCAGTCCTTTTATACTCATCAATAATATCAAGTAGATCATATTTCCTGAATTCTGAGGTTACGTTCTCTATCCCGATACACTTGAGTTCATGGAACTTGTTCTCCTCATCCGGACCCAGTCCAAACTTGTAACTCCCATACTCTGAACATACTGAACCTCCTCCCACTACTGTAATCCTGGTTGGTTGGGAAGTGTACTTCTCTAGGTTTTCTGTCTCTGCAACCTCTCCGCTTATTAAGTGAGAGTTTGCCCCTGAGTCAAAAAATGTTAAAACCTGGGATTGACCTATTTGTAGAGTTTGCATCAAGTAATGGGCGTATTGTTCAATCTCAAGTTTAATAAAATCTTGTTCCGGATAAACCCTTGTTCCTGAGTTTGTATCTATGCACGGTACCTGAACATTCAAGGGTTTATCCGTTGCCAAGCTTTCAGGTGAATATACAGTATTACTCTGGGCTGTGGCATGAACTTGCCATGCAAAATTGGCCGAAACCTTTAGGTTAGATTCATTTATATCTGCGGGCATTTGACCTAAATATTTATCCAAAGTTTTCTTTATATCTGAATACTTTGCCCTGACCTCTGCATGTTTGCGTTTTCTACACATTAAGATACTAAATGGCGCCCATCCCTGTGATGAGGCATATTCAACACAACCTTGACAAGTTATTAACTCATTTATATTCTTGTAAAATTTACACTTCCTCTCATTACACATTGCCTTTGGTCTAAGACATGCATAACAAATCCTCCTAACCTTGGTGTTCTCCCATCTGTCTGCTGGGCTCATTGATAACCATTCCTTGCACTCTGCCATCTCATGGTTGTGGTTCACCAAGGGGCACGGAAATCTCATACCAGGGGGGTACCATGGAGCAGGGGGGGTGTATGCCGCAGCATGAATTCCCGTCATCGCTTCTTCATCCGAGGCTCCTTCCTTCTCAGCTCTAGATATGAATACAGCCTTGGGTTTAGGTTTAGATCTACTCTCTATTCCTCTAAAGGCTGATACTATGTTCCTCTCCGTTTCACAGTATTCTTTGAACAGGGAGTAGGTGGCACAACCTTGAGGGTTATCCCAGTCCAAGCTTCTCTCCGTCATCTTTCTCCGCAGCTGATCCTGGTCTATACCTGGTAATAAATCAATCAATCCTGCAACCGTATTCCTGCAATACATGACTGCATTTAACTCTTCAATTTTAATATCGGGAATCTTGGCTAATTTATCAAACCTTGCAATAGCAGTGCAAATATTTGCAAAATAAGTATACCTTTCCCCTTTGTCTGCTGCTGTACTAGGTATACTATTGGAGGGTTTTGTTTGAGCCTTTAACCCTGCGGAAATATCTCCTATAATTCTGTCAGCTCTCCCATAAGTTTTGATTAACCATTCCCTTAACCTTGAAAAATTATCTGAGAATTCTGCAGTTCTTGATTTAATTTCTTCAGATAAATGTTGACTTAATAAAGAAGCCCTTTGTTTAGATGTACCCCACCCTAGCATTGCCATGTCAGCCTCATCAATAAACTCAAAAACAGTTTTCTCAGCGTTATTATTAAACACAATTAACCTTGAGATATCCCCCCTTGAATCGCTAATTGCATGGGCTTCAGATCTGGCATATATACTTTCAACATTCATTACCCAATCATCAGCTGAGTCTAAGATCCCCTGTACTTCTCTGCAAAACTCCTGGTCTGCGTCTGAGTATTTGATATATCTAACAAGATCATCCCCGCATGTTTTGACATACTTGTTGACCTTACTCGTATCTTCCTTGTTACATTTTTTAATCAGTCCTACATCTGAACTCATGGTGATCATGGTTGCACTTAACTGTCTTATCTGCCTTACTGATCTTTCAATATTGTACTTAATTACCTCACACTCTCTTGATGCCTGCGTTGGGTCTGGGGTAGAGGTGTGGGCGGAGTGGGATACATTAGCAGAAAGAGGGTTCCTACTTATTTGCTCGACCCTCACTTCTACAACTAACTCTCTGAGGTTTTCTACTGTTCTTTCTTCAATCGTATTCTGGTCCTTTAATTCATTTAACTCTTGTCTGATCTCCATTAATCCAACCTCGGAGCAATACCTCTCAATAGTTGTCTTAATTCTATTCTGGAGTAAGGGGGTGAGGTCTGTACCCTGAGCTGAAAGACTCTCTACACTCATGTTGGAGACCCTCTCCTTAATAGGAGCTAACTTCCTTCCTATGTATGCCTTCACATTTGAATCAATTAAGTGTACCTTCTGTTCTAAATTACTCACTCTGCTCTGTGTACTATTCTGAGTTTCCTGTATCTTGGAGACTGCAGACTCTACCTGGTTTACCTGAGTTGAAATCCTCGTTAGGGTAGCCTGGATAGCATTATACTTCGTTTCCAAGCTAGATAGTTGGGATGAGTGGTCGCCTAACTGATCAGCATTTTCTCTTCCTAACCTAGTTACCTGGGCTAACTCTTCTCTCTGGTCTGTCTCTCCCGAGGTGGTTCCTAACGTCACCCCTACTGTCCTAATCGACTCTATTATCTGGTCGACTACATCGTCACGTTGCTCTAGATCTTCACCTCCCTCCGCTGCTCTTCTTGATGCATTGAATGAACGGATGATTTTTTCAACCGATGCTGTCATGCTGGGTGGTTGTGTTGTTCGCCGGATTCTACTTGGGCGGGGCTCTCCGGGGGTTGGATGTTGGTTGTGAGAGGTTCTGCTCCCACTGGAGGGGGTGTTTTTTCCTTTTCTGGTTCTACCTGCGGTATCTGGGTGTCGATTACAGTAGTAACTACATCTCCGGTTACCTGGTCCTCCCTAAAGACCTCATCTGTGATGTGACTAAAGATTTGGGTTGAAGTACCTGTTGCTGTTGAAGTGTGTCTCTGTGCCCTTCTCTCAGCTAACTTCTTAAGGTTGTCCATCCTCGTTCCTAACCCTTCTATTTGTCTTATCACCTTCATGTCAGCTCCCCTTATTAACGCTTCCTTCGCTAACACCTTTTTTCTCGCCATTAGTTGGTCATAATTTTTGATCGATACTTCTAACCCTACTCTGTGTCCTTCGTCACCTTGCTGCTCAACCCATGCCCAGCTTTCTACGTCTAACTTTAAGTACTCTACCCGTTGTAACGTTCTCTCTAACTTCTCTGCTTTCTTATCAGATTTTCTAGCTTGTAACCTAGTACCTAACCCATGGCCTATAGGGGACTCAATAATATTTTCCCTTAAATATGCCAGATCTGGATTTGAAATAGATCGTTCAAGGTTAAGTTCCGACATTAAACCTGGGGAGGTGGGTGATGTTGGTGATGAAGGTCCTGAAGCACTACTCGACCTTCTCCGCTCTGATCCAGATATCGATCTTCGGTGCTCTCCTCGTTCTTCACCCTCCATCCTGTATCCTAATTATTTCGTGGTGGGCTAATCAGAAGAAAGGGACTAAAAATTACATCTTCCCTGGTAATATTAACCTTTCCATAAGATGTAATTTTGTCGGATTTATAACTGAGGTCAAAGGCGGGCTACCAGAATCTCTGCACTCTTCAGTCAGAAGATTTAAGCGGGAGCAATTCTCATTCGTTTATAGTGGGCCAACCAATTAAAACAACCTGCTCTGGTTAGGCGGGTCCAAACTACATAGTAAATTGTGATTTTTTTATTTGTATTATCTCGTGCTTTGTAGTTGAATAAAAATATGAATGAAAATATGAAATATGAACCTAATCGTGTAAACCTTTTTTATTTTTAAATTAGAAAATTTGATCTATCATGAATTTTTGTGTTTCTTGAAAGGGACTGTATGCTTAATTCAGGGGACAGTAGTTCAAAAACTAACAAATTGAAAGACTGGGTTTTTGTGATCCAGGCCCATATCCAGAGTAAAAGTGGATAGTAAAAACTATAACCAACATTTTATTAAACATGACGAGGACAACAATTCCCAATTTTAAACTTTTATTGTAGATCAAAATTTTAACAGGAGTTCTTTTTACATTAAAGCTCTTGACCGTTTTCAAGACAATGTTAGGTTTTCCATTTTCGAACATATCCTGAATTTGAAACATTGTCGCGTTTTCGAGACAAAACCCACTTTCCCGTTTTTGAGTATAATCCGCAATTCAAAACAAAACTTTCATACCTGTTAAACCCCAAAACTCGAGGCTTATGATATCAAGAAACCGTATTCAAATATGAATAAATTGCTACCTTGAACTCATCTTTGCGTCGCTAGAACGGAACTTGAATGCTGCAAGATACTCGTCCGATCCTCTACATATCTTCTGTAAGATACAGCAATCAGCGTTCGTTCTAAATAATAAAAGAAATATAAATACGTGCGGCTTTATCTTTAAAATAAAAGGTTATCAAAATATATAAATGCGGTCATCTACTAGTACTTAAAATCACAATAAAAAATCTCCAAGCCGAGCTTTGCTTCATCTATCGCCCCTTCTTACTTGCTCAGATTCCTTATCGGTCCGAAGACTATTCCGTTTATAAAAAGCCTTGGTTACCTCAAATTGCGTCACAATACTTCTAAACCTTGACGAAAACCGACTCGTCTCCGTGCATCTAACACATCCTTCTGAAAGCGCAAACACTTTAAACCGAATGTAACTTGAGGAAATAATAAATATCGAACTTTTAACCACCGCGCCTTGTATTGAACTCAGGGGGCGTTTCACAGTTCTCCCGGTAAAATGAAACTCATTCTAATCCATCCGGTATTGCGCATAATTTTAGTCGTCGTTACACTGGAGACAATCAATCAATCTACTTAATACCTTTTCATAAGGAATCCCTAAACCTAAACCTTAGATACGTCATTTCTGTATAACACATATTCTTAAGGCTCCGGCTTGCCCTTTTTATCTCAAACTAAATTCATTCCCTCATAGTTAACTCTTTCAATACCGTACAGCTTAGATTCAGACCCGGATAAGCTTGAACGTTTCTGTCATACTCATTCATTTACTCTTTAATCCCGGAGAATTTTTCTATCCTATATATGAGATTCAAATTTCTTCAGGTTCATTTCTCCGCAAATACCTGGTTTCGTACTTTTACTCCGGGTCTTACAAAAGTACGGCAACTTCTCATTCCTCTCTCTGGAGAAGTCTATAAACTCTACATAAATCCTATACTCAATTCTTGGAGAGCATACTCAGAACTTATACCTCACAAAACAATACCTTACAAAATAAATCAGTGAAAACAAAAATTATCTTATGAAGACTAAATTAACTTCTGAATTATTTCTAGAATATAAGTTTCCACATTTTATAATGTTAAATTAGAAAATATGGATGATTTATTTTCAAGCATTTTAAACAAACACTTTCCCGCATTTCTAGTTAAATCTATATTGTAAAAACAAGCGATATTAATATTTTGATTTCTAAATGCTGTAATGATTTTTTAATCATAAAAGAACAATTTGTTTTTATTTTCTAATTTGTTTATATTTTATCTTATCAAAAAATCTTGTTTTGTTTCATAAGAGCGTAAATACTTGAAAATTGACATTGATAAGAATTCCGGTAATTGTCCCAAAACCAGGATATGTTCTGAAAACGCGAAATGAGATGAAATCCGGTAATTGTTTCAAAATAGGGATATGTTCGAATATCAAACTAATTCTCGCACCTTATTATTAGTTTAAAATTAACATTTATTGTTTCAATATATAGTTTTAGCCATTTTTTTAAAATATATTGTGTAATTTTGTTCTACTCGTCTTGGATTTAAAGATCTATACTCTTGAAAAAGATAACTTTGCATATTTGGCCCATTTCTAACACTCAGTGTTAGAAATGAGCCAAGTGATAGGTTTGGAATTAATATCCCCTTTTATTTTAAGTTACCCTCACACTCAGTGTTAGAAATGAGCCAAGTGATAGGTTTGGAATTAATATCCCCTTTTATTTTAAGTGACCCTATATTAAAAAGAAGTACATGCCCTATTAACCAAGGTACCCTTGAAACCTTTTGTAGAGATATTACAATAGAAATTAAACAGTTTTTAAAAGTTTAAACATGATATCTAATTCATATTTGATCAGACAAAACTTTTAAGGGTGCCGTTTTTGAATTGGACATGTCCCTATTTTTAGTGAAATTTAATTTGAAATTACGTTTACAGAATAAAGACCCTTTAAAAAAGAAATTATTAATTAGGCTCAACTTGACAAGATCATTAAGATCTTTAAAACAAATTATATTCTACTAGCTAAAGGGCCCGGCGTTGCCCGTGAAAAAAAATTAGAAAAAAATTCTTTAGCCTATTACACTCCCCGGCTACCCATGAGTGTCCACAAACAATTTCAGTCCAATCGGTCCAGCCGTTTGGTCGGCTAAACGCTACATATATTTATATATATATATACACGAATGTCTTGTTTTATTATATAGATTTTCGAATTGTTTAAAGTGTGTAGAAGTTAAAATCTTTAAAGTTGGTAATTTTTCTGTAAATCATTTTCTGTGTTTTTATTTTTTATCTCTTTCATTTTAAACTCAGGAGAGCACTCTGTGTGATTAGAAACACTTGAATAAATAAAAAGTAGGAATATTTATATCAACAACAGAATTCATCGGTTAAAGGGACTGTAGCGCAATTTTAAATGCGTGCCCCACTCTTAATAATTTGTTTTCCGGAAGTATGTCAGTAAACAAACTGTTTAAAAACCGTGTTTTGATTAAAATATTTGAATGATTATTGAATACTGTTGGCTGAAGAGATCATGCAGTAATAATTTTGTGACGTTATTGAATACGATTTATTTGCATCCTTTATCACACAAAAGTTGGCTCCGGGTACCTTTAAGAATCGGAAAAGATGAACTTTTTTTGTGGAGGTTTATTTGAAATTACATCTACATTCCCTTTTAAGGTTTACTTTTTATTAATATAATTTGGATTTTATAGTTTACTAGCTCGACGAAAAAAATGTTAAAGTTTACTTGCCCGTCGAAAAAAAATAAAAAAAATTTTTTTTTGAACATTTTTTAAAATTCTTTAGCCTATAACACCCCCTGCAACCCCTGAGTGTCCACAGAAACTTTAGTCCAATCGGTTCAGTCGTTTGGCAGGCTATCCGCAACATATATATATACGAATGTCTTGTTTTATTATATAGATTAATGCAAATAACAGAGATTTTTTTGAAATTCTCACACTATGGCCATAAATCCCTATTTCCCCTTTTTTATCGATACAATTTCATTTTAATAATTCTACAAATTCTGAACCTTTGTATGTTGTCTGGAAAAAGTTTAATTTTGGGCAAATTACAGGATATCTCTGTAATCTCTCTAGTACACTCAACAGATTTTACACGACGCAAAGCATCCTAAATAAAAATATTTTTTTTTGAAAATTGAAAATTTTCAAATTTTGGAGATCTATTAATACCTGAGCATCAGGGTTCAAGTCCTGAAAAATAACAGAATTAAAAAATTTTGTTTTTAGAATTTATTTGGAAAGTTTTAATAATCTATAGTTTGAACGTTTTTGATATTAAAAGTATTTATTAGAAAGAATTTAGTTTTTGGCGCAAATGCAAAAGACTATTTTTCATTAGATAATCTCTAAATTAAGAGATTATTCTTTACATGAACTAGACAGAAGGGGAAGGTTCAAATCTATGCGACATTGCTAGCAGGACTTTGTGACCTCGTAGCTTCTTAGGTTTTGGTTGTACGCATAAGTATGAGAAGAACAAACTAACTTATTCGATCACTTATTAGAAACTCAAAACATTATAGTTCGTCACAATAGTTCTTCAATCAGACGAATTATATAATTTACTTTAGTTTAACGTGTGGTAAAATGTTTACCGTAACATTACAAGATGGAGTCCATGAATCCTTCTCAAGGTCTGGGTTGACTCGAGACTTTTGACCGAACCTGACCATTAGCTCAGCCAAACTATTTCTTGATCCTTTACCCTCATTCACCCGAAAATCTGAGAAAAAAATTTAATTTGACGTTTTTAAGGAGTTTCAGCTTTAGAAAATGATAAGATCGACACATAACATAAACCCTATATGGATATAATTTGTTAATTTCAAGGAATTGTTTTTTGTCACTGGCACTTTAGTTTTTATTCGAAACCACTGAAACGTCTGTTGACAATCCATTTAGAATTAACATAATTACCATTTGATAGTTTGAGTAGAGTTTCTTGCTCCAGGTTTTGAACCATCACAAGAACTATTCCAAACCAGAGCAAAACCTGAATTAAAATTAAATGTTTATCTATTTTTTGCTCAATGCAGATAGCGCTTAAATAAAACGGTTTAATGGTCGTCGTTCTTCTTTCTTTTAATTGAACTGAGGAACAAGTCTGTTTTGATGAAAAAGGATGATGTTACATGTGATATAAAGTGGATGTTACATGTGATATAAAGTTGTTGTTACAAGTGATATAAAGATATAAAGTGGATATTACAAGTGATATAAAGTTGTTGTTACAAGTGATATAAAGATATAAAGTGGATGTTACAAGTGATATAAAGTTGTTTTTACAAGTGATATAAAGTGGTTGTTTCAAGTGATATAAAGATATAAAGTGGTTGTTACAAGTGATATAAAGTGGTTGTTTCAAGTGATATAAAGTGGTGGTTTCAAGTGATATAAAGTGGTTGTTTCAAGTGATATAAAGTGGATGTTACAAGTGATATAAAGTGGTTGTATCCATAAGTTGTTACAAAGGATAAAAATCGAGATGTTGTTACACGGTATATAAAGTGGTTGTATCGTAATGTTTAATAGTTGGATATAAAGCGGTTATATCCATATGTTAATCACAAAGTAAAGCAGTTGTATTGAAATGTTGTTAAAATTGATATTTATTAAATGATTATATCCGAATATCGTTATAAAACATATTTTAATCACAAAGAATATAAAGGGGTTTTAGCCTTATGTTGTAAGTAAGGATATAAAGCGGTGTTATCCATTTAATTTCACAAAGGATACGGTTGTATTGGGATCAGAATGTTGTTAAAGAAGGATAAGAGGCGGTCATATCGGGATATTGTCAATATTGATATAAAGTAGTTTGGATGCTGTCACATGGAATATAAAGAGGATGTATCAGGATGTTGTTACAAGGGATATAAAGGTATTGTATCGGGATGTTGTTACAAGGGATATACAGGTATTGTATCGGGATGTTGTTTCAAGGAATATAAAGGTATTGTATCAGGATGTTGTTACAAGGAATATAAAGGTATTGTATCGGGATGTTGTTACAAGGAATATAAAGGTATTGTATCAGGATGTTGTTACAAGGGATATAAAGGTATTGTATCGGGATGTTGTTACGAGGAATATAAAGTGGATGCATTTTTGTTTCGAGGGATATAAAGTGGTTGAATCAGGATGCTGTTACAGAGGATATAAAGTGGTTGAATCAGGATGCTGTTACAGAGGATATAAAGTGGTCGAATCAGGATGTTGTTACAGGGGATACAAAGTGGTTTTATCAGGAAGTTGTTACAGGGGATATAAAGTGGTTGAATCAGGATGCTGTTACAGAGGATATAAAGTGGTTGAATCAGGATGTTGTTACTGGGGATATAAATATAAAAATCTAACCTCTACTATAGAACACATCCTCGAGAACTGAGGTTTAACACATGCAGGAACTAATACACATATTTGATAGCAAATAATTGATTTATTACAATTCTATAACATTCGAAGAACCATACATTTATAAGTAACTTTTATACAATTGCATTAAAAAATTAGTTTTTAATCTTGTTAAGAATTACACATATTATTTAGTTTATTTGCTTATAAATACTATTTAGTTTCTGTAAAAATTGATTTTGTTTGTGGCGTTCACAATATTGGTCAACATGACGCCAAGATCTAATTTATATGGTGCAGTGCGAGAATTGAAGTGAGGGGACTAAAAGGGATGTGAATGGAAGGAGAGGGATGGGAATGGAAGGAGAGGGATTTCGAAAGGAAGGAGAGGGATGTGAATGGAAAGAGAGGGATGGGAATGGAATGTAAGGGATGGGAATGGAAGGTAAGGGATGGGAATGGAAGGAGAGGGATGGGAATGGAAGGAGAGGGATGGGAACGGAAGGAGAGGGATGGGAATGGAAGGTAAGGGTTGGGAATGGAAGGTAAGGGATGGGAAGAGGGATTTCGAATGGAAGGAGAGGGATGGGAATGGAAGGTAAGGGATGGGAATGGAAGAGATGTAAATTGAAGCGTATATGAATGAAAGGGGTGGGAATGGAAAGGTTAGGAATGTAAGGGATGGTAAAGGAAAGGGATGGGAAGGAGGAACGGAAGGGATGGGAGGAATGGTAGAGAGAAACAGAAATGGAGGGAGGATTTGATGGATAGGAATGGTAGGGATGGAAATGGAAGGGTTGAGAATGGACGTGATAGGAATGAATGGGAATGAAGGATGAGAATGAGAGAGATGGGAAATGAAGGGATGGGAAATGAAGGGATGGGAAATGAAGGGATGGGAAATGAAGGGATGGGAAATGAAGGGATGGGAAATGAAGGGATGGGAATGGAAGGGATGGGAAAGAAAAGGGATGTGAATGNGATGGGAAATGAAGGGATGGGAAATGAAGGGATGGGAAATGAAGGGATGGGAAATGAAGGGATGGGAAATGAAGGGATGGGAATGGAAGGATTGGGAATGGAAGGGATGGGAAAGAAAAGGGATGTGAATGGAAGAGGTAGGAATTGGATGGGAGGTAGAAGCAGGAGGGATGGGAGGTAGGGTTGAAGCACCTTTTAAAAAAAGTCGCCTTTCTCTTAATAATCAATTAAATAAAATTAATTAAAGCCCTGTATCCGTTGTGTATTGTATTTATCGCAGAACCCATTATAAACCCAAAAAAATACATTCTGACACTACAATTACACAGTTACACAGTTACACAGTTACACCTTACATATTACACAGTTACACAGTTACACCTTACACAGTTACTCAGTTACACCTACGGATACGAAAAAGTATATTTTGGCTTTTAGATCAAACCAAGGGTTAATGCCTTGGAACACTTTAGAATTGGCCCGGTCTCAGCGGTTAATGTATGTAACTTGTCAGTTCGCTCTGAACTAAACAATTTTTTGTCACAACTATTTGGTGCATGGTCATAACTGTGATATAATGAAAGAAACTGAACCTCAGCAGGTAGGTTTTGTATATTTATATCGATGCCGACTCCTTTCCCTGACAAATGAGTTTGGGTTTATTTAATATTCTTTATTACTGAAATTAACATTAAATCCAGGCTTTCCTGCAGTTTGTAGAAAATAATTTATTTCCAATGCATTTACCTCTGTCACAATCAGTGCAAAGGAAATGAGTGTTTGCCGCAAACTCAAATTTTCTTATCCCTATATCTTTGCAACCTGATAGTGTAAACCTTTAATATTTCAAACTTAGATTATTTGATCTAACAGAATTCACAATTTGAAATATCAAAGGGCCATGACATTGGTTTGCATAGGGATTATATAATAAGAGTGTGTGGCAAAAACTCAATTTCTTTTTAATGAAGAAAGTGTAAACATGTTTAATCATGCTTCATATGCTTCAATATTTAATAAATTCGTAACACATCACACAAATGTATATTGAATTAAGTTCAGTAAAAATGCATAAATTTGCTTCAAATAACGCACCAGGCACTTGAAATCTTTGTCTGATCAAAGATGTGGAAAATATTGTCGTTATTCTATATGACAAGATCTTTTCGAAAAATTAGCTAACTGGTTTCATTTAATAACTTAGTAATAACGTTTTATGAATATTTACATGTTAAAAATAGATTAGAAATAGATTAGAAATAGATTAGAAATAGATTAGAAATAGATTAGAAATAGATTAGAAATAGATTAAAAATAGATTAGAAATAGATTAGAAATAGATTAGAAAAAGATTAGAAATAGATTAGAAATATAGAACGTTTTTAGATAAGTTAGTAAGAATGTCTCACAATATGAATTTCAAAGTGAAAAAAATAATTTGGGCGTACAAGAGTGTAAGTTGCCTTCCGCGCGCGCATCTTGTTTATATAAAATATAAATCTTTTAAATAGAATTAAATTTGTATTTGTTGATTATTGAAAACTACACAACTTAAAACAATTTTTATCATTCCATTTGAAAGACGATTAATGTATGTGTTCATCATAAATCCTGAATTTCATAATTGCTCGGGAGATAAACAATAATTCATTTTCCTCGTCCTTCTCCTGGTTTAGATTTTACCACAAACCATTAACCATTGAACAGTACAAATATTTATTTTAAAATGATAAACCTTAACGCGCGCATTTATTCACGCTGGATATTGTTCATTCTGTTGTTGAACTTGAACCAAGGATGCAGGAGTCAGCTGTCAGATATATCAGTGCATAGTGAATAATAAACTTAAAGAATAAATGTATAGATACAGTTTAACAAACAGTTAATGAAAGGTAAATCTAAAAAAGTCTGAAATATCAATATTTTATGAAAATTAAAATTTAATATTTTACTTGTCACCTTCCTTGTGGATCACTCTTGAAATTTATGAGAATGTCGTTAAAAACCATTATCATTCATTCTGATTAAAATATTAAACGTCCTTTTTTTTTAGATAAATCAAATCAAATACTTTAAAGTCAAAATAAAAATACCTCGTTTGAGTCACGCGTCAGCTGAAAAAGGTTATTGCTGAAGATTTCTCGGAGTTTAAATCACGTGATTCTTTTTGAAGCCTAAAATATTCGGGTTTCTAGTGCGTCAAATATTTGGTGTTTTGTATAAGATATTTTCGTATGAGTTTAGAGAAGTCCTGAATCACATCAAAACTAAGTGTCATTTTAAAAACAATGGTTAACCGACAAATGACAAATAATGACATTCAACATTGGCTGACAAGTGACAACTAATGACAGTTAACATTGACCGACAAATGACTAATAATGACATTCAACATTGGCTGTCAAGTGACAACTAATGACAGTCAACATTGACCGACAAGTGACAGCTAATGACAGTCAACATTGACCGACAAGTGACAACTAATGACAGTTAACATTGACCGACAAATGACTAATAATGACATTCAACATTGGCTGTCAAGTGACAACTAATGACAGTCAACATTGACCGACAAGTGACAGCTAATGACAGTCAACATTGACCGACGAGTGACAGCTAATGACAATCAACATTGACCGACAAGTGAAGCTAATGACAGTCAACATAGACCGACGAGTGACAACTAATGACAGTCAACATTGACCGGCAAGTGACAACTAATGATTGTCAACATTGACCGACAAGTGACAGCTAATGACAGTCAACATTGACCGGCAAGTGACAACTAATGATTGTCAACATTGACCGACAAGTAAAAACTAATGACCGAAACCCACTGTTTCTTTGACTCAAAATGTTCATCTTTAGTATCACAAAACTACTATTGGAAAGCGTCCCATATCATATTGGATTGTCTCTAAGCTTTAACGCCAAAATACTCACATTAATATTAAAAAATCTATTGTTTTCTGCAAACAAAATTTATATTAGCCTTAAAGAATTTTTAAAATTGATTCATTCTTTTAAAATTTTCTGATTGGTACCGAAAATCGCAATTTAGAGCTATAAACGAGCTAATATGATGTGGGACACTCTGTATAATATAAATATTTATTCTTGTGCACGTACATTATAAATGTTCACTGTACGTACAGGGTATCCCACAAAGGTTGAGACTTCTGAAACTTCTGTACGAAATGTCATAGGCCTTTTTCCTTAAACTCATGGTAATTCTTTGCCAACTCAAATTAATCATACTTAAAAACGACTATATTTACAGCCGCAGATCTTTAACCTTTAGATCTTAACAGATTTTGTTTAAGGGTCGCGAATAAATTTACATCCTTTGTGGGAATCCCAGTATGTTTACTGTTAAGCCATGATTTATGAAGAAAGTTTTAATAAGCAATATACAAAAATAAGGGAATTGTCCTAAAATTCGATTCCTTTTATGTGAAAATTTATGCTTTTGTTGAGAATCGGACATACCACTCTATAAATCAACAGCCACTTGAAATTACGACATTGCACAGTCCGTTTAAATAGATTTTTTAAAACAAAAATATTTTTATTTTTTGGAAATCATAATATGAAAAATGGGTTGGCTCTATAAATAACTCGATCAATAAACAGAAGCGCTACGCGTCCTGAATTTCAATTTCCCTAGAAATGAGTTTAATTTCAAATATACGAATAAGAATATGAGTTCCAAGGTAGAACCAATGATTTATCCCAGATGTTGAATATCTCCGGGACCAAGGTTACTCAGAAGTAATTCACTTAATGAGACAGAATTGTGTTATTTCTTCGTAAACTAAATAAAAAATTGACATTTTTTCCTAGAAATGAAGAAACTGCGAAAAAGCTTAAACTGCACTTGTTCCCCTGTTCTTATCACTACCGGAGCAGTAAACCCAATCCAGAGAAGATGAGGTGCCACATTCATCTTCTTCTTCTTCTTCTTGTCTTCCAAAATATTGTTGCAAGAATTATACGGAAGAAAATAGCCTCTGGATTACCAAGGTAGGGTAACTGTGTACTCTGGATTACCAAGGTAGGATAACTGTGTACTCTGGATTAACAAGGTAGGGTAACTGTGTACTCTGGATTAACAAGGTAGGGTAACTGTGTACTCTGGATCACCAAGGTAGGGTACTTGCGTACTCTGGATTACCAAGATAGGGTAACTGTGTACTCTGGATTACCAAGGTAGGGTAACTGTGTACTCTGGATTAACAAGATAGGGTAACTGTGTACTCTGGATTACCAAGGTAGGGTAACTGTCTACTCTGGATTAACAAGATAGGGTAACTATGTACTCTGGATTACCAAGGTAGGGTAACTGTCTACTCTGGATTAACAAGGTAGGGTAATTATGTACTCTGGATTACCAAGATAGGGAAATTGTGTACTCTGAAATACAAGGAAGGGTAACTGTGTACATTGAATTATCAACGTATTTGGATAAATCTGTAGGATAGTTCCTTTAGTAAAACTTCTATTTGTTTTTTCCTAACGGTGATTGAGAATTTGTACAGTTTATTCCAGAACTTTGGAGCCATTGACAGAATTTATAAAATGTCGACTTAACAATTTTTTAATTGGTTGTATATACTATATACCTAAATCTCAGTACTTGTTAAAATAGATAAATAGCCATGATATATGCGGGAACAGTTTTAAAGAGCTCCATATAATTATTCACTTATATCTGCAGCATTCCAATTAATCAGCAGCTTTAGAAAACGATATAAATTCTTTCGATGTTTCCGACGTTCTTGTTTAAACTTTATTTTGAATATTTTGAAATACCTGAATATTTTAAGTTGTATATTCAACAATGAATTAAGAATTCTACAAATTAAGGATTAACCTTTAAACCATTCAATTAGTGGGTAGCCGCAAAATATAATATTTACATTAGTATTATGTAATCTATGTATCTAGGATTGGGACAGTAATATTTAGCTGACGTTTCATTTCATGAGTTAATGGTAAACATGAAAACCATTTTCTGAGACAAAAAGATATCATCATTTTTAAAAAGATATAAACTTTGAAAATTGCGTTTTTGTTCCAATTTATGAATTTTTAGACTTTTAAATTTTAAATCTAAAAGTTTTTTTTTGTCATTTGCCGTTTGCCACTGACATCTTTTTAATTGTACATGTACGAATGTGTAAAAAGTATACTGCAGCTTACGGGATATTATGTGTATAAAAATGTTTAAATGTATAATAACGTTTACATTTATAATAACGATTACGTGTATAATAACGTTTATATGTATAATAACGTTAGCTTGTATTATAACGTTTATATGTATGATAACGTGTATATGTATAATAACGTTTACATGTATAATAACGTTTAAATAATAATAACGTTTACATGTATAATAACGTTTGTGTGTAAGAACGTTTACATGTATAAAAAACTTTTACGTGTATAATAATGTTTATGTGTATAATAACGTTTATGTGTATAATAACGTTTACGTGTACTAGAACAGTCACGTGTATTATAAAATTTACGATATGTAAACCCCTTTCCAATATTAGAATTCGTGTAAGTGTTTTTTGTACACCTACGTGAACCTGACCATGTACTTGTACTTGTTCGTATACGTGTACATGAATATGTACTTGTACTTGAACGTTTACGTGTACGTGAACATGTACTTGTAAATGTGCGTGACGTAAAGAGTGTAGTTAAAGCTATACACTAGTATAGACTTCATTATAAAACCAGCATATGTCAACAATTTACAAAGAACCCCCATATTATTATTATTATCATCAACTTCTTTAAATTGCAATTCTTAAAAGTTCTCCCTGTAATGAATACTTCATGGATAAATAGATAGTAAAGCTTAGGTCTAGAAGTGTATCATTTACTCTGTAATAAGGTTGAAGGTTGAATAATGAGACTAGGGACTAGAGAGACGTATGCTACGTATTGCAAATAATTATTTAGTTCTCAGGTGTGTACATCTGTTCAGGTTGAATCTAGGGAATCCTGGAGTAAATTTTAGTCTCCTGTGTGTCATATGTCAGATCATGATAATACAAAATACGGACAAATTATATTATCTTCTGCAGTAAACCAACCATATTGTTGTAGAGTGAAAAGAAAATCTAAACGGATTGCAAAATTATGAAGGGTTGGGACGGATTGCACGGAGTTGGAGAAGGGTTATGAAGGATTACAAGGAGATGAAGAAGGGTTGGGATGGATTACAAGGATTTGAAGAAGGGTTGGGAAGGATTACAGGGAGATGGAGAAGGGTTGGGATGGATTACAAGGATTTGGAGAAGGGTTGGGAAGAATTACTAGGAGATGGAGAAGGTTTGGGATGAATTACAAGGAAATGGAAAAGGGTTGGGATGGATTAAAAAGAGATTGAGAAGAGTTGGAAAGGATAAAAAGGAGATGGAGAAAGGGTTGGGACAGATTACAAGATGAAAAGGACATGGGAGAGCTACAACGAGAGAGAAAAGGGTCTATATGGAGAAGGGTTGGGAAGTAGGATAAAGGAAGGGTTAGGAAGAATGACTAGTAGATTTAGAAGGGTTGAGTCCTACAGATTACAAGGAAATGGAGAAGGGTTAGGAAGGATTACAATGAGGTGGATATGGGTTAGGAAGAATGACTAGTAGATTTAGAAGGGTTGAGACCTACAGATTACAAAGAAATGGATATGGGTTAGGAAGGATTACAATGAGGTGGATATGGGTTAGGAAGGATTACAATGAAGTGGATATGGGACGGACGGAAGGAAATGGAGAAGGGCTAGGACGGATTACAAGAAAATGAATATGGATTGGGAAGGATAAAAATGAGGGGAGATGGGACGAACGGAAGGAGTGAAATGGTGGTAGTGATATCGAGGTTGAGAAAGATAAAAAGGGCGAAAGAACAAAGCATAGATTAGATAAAAACTGATATTTTTTATTTTAGATTTCGTGTTTCAACTCCAGAGAACAGAATCATGAGGAGAAAAAGTTTATCTCTAGCAGACATTCAGGAATATTTTCATATAAGGATACAAGGATACAAGGATACAAGGATACAAGGATGCAAGGAAACAAGGATACAAGGATACAGGGGTACAAGGGTACAAGGATACAAGGATACAAAGGTACAAGGATACAAGGATACAAGGATACAAGAATGCAAGGAAACAAGGATACAAGGATACAGGGGTACAAGGGTACAAGAATACAAGGATACAAGGATACAAGGATGCAAGGATACAAGGGTACAAGAATACAAGGATAGAAGGATACAAGGATACAAGGATACAGGGGTACAAGGGTACAAGGATACAAGAATACAAGGATACAAGGATGCAAGGATGCACGGATACAAGGGTCCAAGTGTACAAGGGTACATAGATACAGCATTATAGGGATACAAGGATACAAAGATAAAATGTTGCATAGCTTTATGCATGGACGGATGCTTCATGCAATTTTAAAAATTCTCTTTTTAAATACTTTAGTATTTGTCGGTGATTATGTTCGAATAATTGGTTTTCCAAGCACTGGCTAGGTTAAACCCTGGATACGGTTCAGATACATTTTTTGTCATGAACTCGTACTTTATCATCTTTGCGTCATGTCAACGCATTATTAATAAATGTTTCGCAAATAGTTCTAACTTCTTTTCAGGTTAATTATCGAATGTTTGTAATATTTTGAAAAATCTAATGAAAGTCTTTTTTTAGATTTTTCCAGATGTGTGTTGAATGTTGCTTAAAGAAAATACCAAATCATGAAATTAGAAAAGTTAAAGTTTCTAATTTTCCAATATCATTTACACAAAAATGTTGCTCATAAACATTAAATCATTAACAGAGTTACTTACAAACAATGAGTTTTTAATGACGACAAGAAAATGATAACATTGTTAAGGGTGTATTCTAAAATTGATTTAAAAATGTTAAGTTGAGTTGGTCGACCATATTACCCGGTGTCATGCATGGGGCGGACTCCCCTTGAAGTTTTAACCATTTCAACACAATGTTAGACATAAAAAGCAATGTTATGACATTTTCCGATATTTATTAGTCCGCTTCATACACCTGCAACGCTTTTTTCTCAAGCTAATTCTGCGTAGAATATAGTTTGTAAGTAAAATAATAAATGATTGTACAATGGAAACAATAATTTAAGAACAACAACATAAACTTAAACTAAATAAACAACATGATCCCGGTATTAGGTCAGAAACTTTTTCTCCTCTGAATAGTGTACAGGTGTACAGAATATACTCATTGACACTTAATAACGATATACTCCGATCTGTGAAGAAAATTGCCCAACCTGTGGCAGGTTTAGTTTAAGATATATAATGAAAATATTGAATACCCCAGGATAAAGATATTTTTGAGTTTGCTCCAGGAGAATATTCCCCTAAACCACAGGAACAGTCATGTTAATTCATGCTAATACAAATTTTTGTTTTTAAATACGGAAGGATGCATACATGTGTCGGATAGGAAGACGATATTTAGTCAATTTGTTTTTAATGTTGTTAAAAATCAACCTTTTAAGTGAAATGGCTCTGTGTTTACTTTTTCATGCACAACGTACTATTTAAAATCATAACTTTATTCCAAAGTTTTTATTGGTTTCCCTGTAAGAAAGTTATTGATGAAAATACTGAACAGTTTTGTAATTTTTCACATTTTTATAGCTTTCTTCTCTACTTTTTTTCTGAAAAATTAACATCGTTGATTTTAGTTTTATCCTCCGTCCATTTTCCCTCCATTTCTCTCCTCCTTTCTTCCATCCTTCGTACCCTCTTCATCCTTCCCTCCACCGGATATATTTCCGGATAATAGGAGAGTAACCTATCCTCTCATTGCCAGGGTAAGTTACAGATTTCATGTTTTTGTTCATATCCAATAAATATGAAAACCATGATCAATTCCGCATAATAATTTATACAAGAATTTTTAATTTAAATAAAAAAATATATCGTAATTGAAATCTTATATTTGAAAGCGATTAAACAAAAACCGGTTTTTAAATGAATTATTTAACCTTTTTTAAGCTTCTTAACTTTATTTACAAGAAGTCAATAAATTTTGAATTCTTACGTTATAAAATGTTTCCCGTGAAACATTTTAATTACTTTTCAAATGTGAATTAATTTCAGTTATGATAATTAGGAAAATAATCATAATATTTATTTAGAATTTGGTCTCAAGTGTCTCAGATTGGTTTCAATCTATGATCCAGCGAATCCTTCCAACCAAGTCATTCGTCTTACTCTGAGTAATTGGTCTGATAACTTGGCGTAGTTCTTCCAACTACTCTGAGAACAGGAAGCAATTCTTTGTCCTGATATGATGATCGGAGCTGTTCTTCCCCCTATTCTGAGAACAGCTGGAGGATAACTCTGATCAGCCCTTCCTCTGAATCTGAGTACCCGGATCAATCCTTCTTCCCAGTCAGAGAACTTGGATCAATCCTTACTCCCAGTCTGAGAACTTGGATAAATCTTTCCTAACAGTCTGAGAACTTGGAGAATTCCTCAATCCTCCTATGTACATTAAGAACTCGGTGGATAAGTCGGATCAGCCCTTTTTCTTAATCTGAGGACTAGGATCAATCTTTCGTCTTAGTCAGTCTGAGAACCCGGATCAGTCTTTCCTTCCAATCTGAGAACCCGTATCAGTCATTTCTCCCAATCCTAAAACTCGAATCAATCCTTCCTGCCGTTCAGAAAACTCGGACCATACCTTCGCCTTCTTCAGTCTGTGAACTAGGAGCAATCCTTCCTTTAACTCTGAGCACGCGGAGAAATACATCTTCCTTGTCTGAGTGTTGGGATCAACACCTCGTCCTAGTTTAAGAACACAAATCAGTTCTTTCCCGAGAACCAAGTTGGATTACGGTGAAGCTGGGATTACAGTGATAACCAGACAACTTTAAAAATAGGAAGACGACTTTTAGAATCAATTCTTGATGAAAACAAATACACGGACGAAATAAGTGAGCAGCGATTCGATGTTTCTGAATGGTTCCCTATTATTGAAGAAAATATTTTGCTATTATGTAAGGAACCAATTACGGACTAACTCTACCAGCTTTACCCTCAAAGGGGGGGGGGGAGGAAAATTGTTTTTTTGATCTACGAAAAAAACTTGTATTCAACCCAATAACAATCTCTTAAAAACTCTAGTCTCTTCTGCAGACAAGAAAAAGGAAAGAAAAAGAATAATAAACCATTTTGTTACAAATTAGAATCTGAAGTTGAATGAATTCTTGCTACAAACTCTTATTTTCCAATCACTATATCACTGCAACCCGATGTCGAAGACCTTTATATATATTTCAACCATGAATTCTGTTAGGTTAAATAGTTTAAGTTTAAAACATCAAAGGTTTACACCATCAGGTTGCAAAAACATATGAGACTAGACAATTCGTGTTAGAGACAAAAACTCAATTCCTATATCGATAAATTCCTTCTCTATAAGAAAACTTCAATTATTATCTAAATCTAAATATTTATTCATTAAATATTGAAATAAAAAATTGTATTTTTGTGATATTTTTGATAAAAGTTATGTGTATAATCTCATAAATAAAATTTTTAACTTTTTATCAATTTTGTTATAATAAAATCTTGTTTTTAGAAGATTAGTTAACCGCTAAAAAATTGTGATAAGATGCATCAAAAATAATTCTTATATTGTTCACTAAAATGAATTGCGTAATCTATCAATCTATATATCTCAGTTAGTTTCCCCTCCTATTGTTAAGGTTTACTCTAGAAGTTGTAAAATCCCTTTCATTGTTACAAACCGAGCTTTTAACATTTCTATAAACAGCCAGGTTTTTATAATCAAACCATTGAGGGGTAAAATATAGAAACTTTAAGACGCAATTTTGGATAAAAAAACTGTAAACGATAAAATTTGAAAACAGGTTTTTCATTCTAAAAAAATCCTCAAAAAAAAATAAAATGATTTTTGTTTCTCGGTGTTTTAGCGCTGACGTTTGAACTGTTTTCTATTCTATTTTCAAATTTCGTGAAACTCAATAATTTGATCGAACCCTCGGACAACAAGAGTCTTGAAATCAGTAGCAACAACCCTTTCATGCAACAAGGTGGTCCAAATATATTGGAAACAAGTCATAGAATAAAATAAAATAAACATTTTTTTGTTTAACATTTAATTTGAATAAATTGAAAAAAACTATTAAAAAACATTTCAGATAACATTGAATTACTGAAAAAATTTCAGAACTCGTGAATTCGTTAGCATTTGACAAGAAATTTTGCACAGCTAAATTTACAATACAATGAATATGGATGCTATCGTTGCATGATCCGAACCTGTTCAAGTATTTACCGTTCGAATGTGCTCGTACTGCTTTCACATACTCGTACCAGCCAGTCTATTTAACCCAGTGTTTAGTGGACCCAGCGCGTTTTATGCAACAAATTTAGTCTGTCCAGGTACTATGTACACACTAAGCAACCCTTTACCTTCTTCTTCATTCTACTCTCATTAATTAACTTTTTCTTATTGATATAATGAATGTTAATTATAATAGAAATATGTTTGAAATTGCAGAATTGAAGACGACATTTAATGAGGTAAAGAAGTTTTCTAGCATACTACAAAAATTTTACAATATAAGATAAATGCTTCTATTCTAAAAGTGTTTCGACGTTCCTGTAAAATACGCAAAATCCTATGAGACACAAGTTTGAAATCATTACAAATTTTTATATGTCTACGTTTCTACTTCATCCAAATAAGAATGCTAACTTTTATAAGTAGTAAAATGGTACAAGTCTGTATTTTAAACTGGTCCTAAAACTTTTGCAGGAACGTAAGAGTGCATTTTTAAATATTATTTGGTAACGAAAGTATAGTTTTAACTGTGCTCTTTCCTTTAATATAAAAGATTCTTTGAAAACCTATTTTAACCGTTATCTCAGAAACGATGGTTGAGAGTTTGTTGTTTTTTTTCTTGAAAATGGAATTAGAGAATCCCAACCATTTTTTTACATATTCATTTATTTTTTATTTTAACAATTTTCTATAAATAAAGAGATGATATCAGATTTAAATATTTTGATTTTTTAATATTTCTCGTTCTCCATTTTTTTCTTGTTCGAACTTTCATCATATTTCGGCTAATTAAACAAAAAAAATTTTGGACATCATAGCAGCTGCCATACTGCTTGCTTAGAACTCCTGTTTTCTTATTTTTCTGACCTCTGTTTTGTTTCGTGTGTTCTTTTCATCTGACTCATTGCTAATTTGGTAAATAATGTATTGCTTTAACAGGAACGCTGATACACAGTTGATCAGACTGTTTTCAGCATTATATTTCCTGACTGGGGCATTTTCCATGTTTTGAGGCCTCTCCGAGTAGTCCTTGTGACATCGAGTTGTGGAGCAGAAAGGAAAGAGATAAGGAGGTTTGGAGGAGGAAGGGTATGAGGGATTTCAGTAAAAGATCACTGCTATCCTTTGTTTTAAAGTCTTTCCAACTTATGCAGAATTAAGGAAACCAATATCTGCAGTGCTTATGCAATATGGGAAGTTGGGAGCCTCAAAGCCACATCAGGTTGGAATCCACAATAGTCCATTCCTCACAGCCGGCCCAGTAAAAAACCGGTATCATTGTCCATGGCTTGTATGCCTTTCAGGGGTTTTACTTCTGTATTCCTTCTTTCAGTTGAGATGTTCAGCCAAAGAAAAGCTGAAGATGGAATTCTTGTTTCCTAGTGAAAGAGAGGGAAAGAGAGAGAGAGAGAACCCACTCCTTCACTGTTTTAATTCTATGTTTTGCTTCTCCCCTGTGGGATAAGTTAAGATCAATTAGACACAGCACTCTTCCTAACTGTGAAGCCGGGAGCTACTATGGGCAGATCCGAGCCCTGCCGTGAGCTGAAAGCAAGTGAATCCCGACCATTTACTTTTTCATCTTCTCTGACAAAATACGTTTGTTATTACAAATTACGGTATATTTGCACAGATTGCCAATTTTACAAATAGAAAATAAAGATATCATAATCATTGTTTCTCAGACTGAAAGTGTAAAGTTTGAAACGGCAAATAAGTCGATGAAAGTGTCTACAAAATTCATAATGTCGAGTTAATTAATTTTCTGGTGTCTAGGTGGAGACATGTATCCTTGCTCTCTCACAACTCTTGTTCTCTGTGCTAGGATAGAAGAGAAAACCAAAATCATTTCAAGTTTATTTGAAAAATCTATATCGTGAGAACCAAAAAACAATGTAATAGGAAGACAACATTATATCAATACTTTATCAATAAAATCACTTATTAAGTGAAATGAATCTGTTTAAACTGCACAATTGCTGTATCTCATGCTCATTGGAATATTTAAAGTCATATATTGAGTCTAAACATGTCTTCCTCTTATGGAGTTTTCTGATTATCACTGTATTTGATACTCGCAGCCGCCTAAAGGGGTACATAATTATATATGATGTTAGATCTAGGTGTTAAGTACTTTCCCAAAGACAATTTCCTAAGTGGCAACATCCCAGCTGTGCAATTTTCCGAGCGGCAACTTCTGTCATGGCCGCAGCACTCGGTACCGTTGTCTGTTCTAGCCGCAGCGCTCAGCCCATCCTTGCCACAGCGCTCGGCCCCCTCCAATTGCAAAAATTTAAAAATGCCTAACACCATATTTATTGCAACCGGGAGGGGGTGGGGGATTGTTTATCTTGAAAAAGTAAATCCTAAGTTAAGCCACCAAAAACCGGTTCCAATTGAGCACTGGCGCAAATCTCGAAACATTGAATACAATTTCAAGTTGAACCAACCATGTTTGAGCCAGGGCTCAAGCTCAAATCTTTAAATTCGACCTTTAGTCACTAAATTTTTGTTTTCCTTCATCAGGAACCATGTTGAACAATCTGATACTAAACACAGTTAAAGATACTCCAGGTAGAATATATAGCTTACTCAATTCATTCATTTTCCTTCATCAGGAACCATGTTGAACAATCTGATACTAAACACAGTTAAAGATACTCCAGGTAGAATATATAGCTTACTCAATTCATTCATTTTCGGTGCAATCTTTGCGCACTTATAATGTCTTTAGTTTACATGTATTTCACATCAAGATTCCAGGATTACTTTTTCTCTACCTACCCTGTTATTCTAGGATTACCCTTCTCTACCCTGTTATTCTAGGATTACCCTTCTCTACCTACCCTGTTATTCTAGGATTACCCTTCTCTACCCTGTTATTCTAGGATTACCCTCCTCTACCTACCATGTTATTCTAGGATTGCCCTCCTCTACCTACCATGTGTTACTGCTAAACCTAAGCCTATGCAACTTGCTTGTGTGTTCAATAGTAAAACCTATGTCGGGTATATATATCAGCTATGCTTATGCTAGGGTAAGTCTCCTGACATTATATGTTTACCTTATTAAAACAAGCTAAAGCCAAATAAAAAACTTAAACTGGTAACATTAATGAAACGTCTAGAAATTTCTGTGCTACAACTTTTTCCTCTAGTAATTCAATTCATCTTTGCATAATACTAATCCCATGTTCATTTTCATACATTTTTATTTTCAATGAATTATTCTATTTACTTCAGAAGATTTTACTTGAAACCTTGTCCAAAGTAATTTTAAACTAAATTCAATGACAATCATACGTAAAACCTCATTCATCATGGTCTTACCTGTTTTACTTGTATTAACAAGATTTAAATGTTTAGAAGGAGAAGGATGTTGGGTTGGAGTTCTGTAGTCTGTACACTATTTGCAATAATGCCGCGTTATTCATTTTACCTTGGAGCATTCTAGTTCTGGGTAATATATTAATCATGCAATTATCTCTACATTTTTGTTAATTTACTACTTTACCTTTCTGTAGCTGTAGCTTGGCAACTAAAAATTTACTAATTTTTATATTTATTCACAAATTTACCTTTCTGTACCTTGGCAAGCAATAATTTACTAATTTATTTTTCTGCAGCTTGGCAAGCAATAATTTACTAATTTACCTTTCTGCAGCTTGGCAGATATTCATTTACAAGTTTATTTTTCCTACAGCTCATGGCAAGTATTAATTTACCAATTTACCTTTTTGTAGCTTGGCAAGAATTAATTTACTAAAATACCTTTCAATAGCTTAATTAGCAAGCATTTATAGCTAATTTACCTTTATGCAGCGAGGCAAGTATTTATATACTACAGTGGTGGGTGTTTAAATCAATACAATAAAGGCGATTTTTCAAATTAAGTTTTGATTTCTATCAAGCTTTTTTCAAATTACAAGTATATAGTAAACAAAGAGAAGCTGTTAATTGACAGCTTCTCTTCGTTTGCATGTATCCATGCTGGTGGAAAGCTTGGTAGAGATCAAAATTGAAATCTAAAGCCGTCTTAATTGTATTAATATATACGACGACGACAATAATTGTTTAGCTTGGCAAGTATTTCTATCCGGAAGACGAGCTGAGGAAAGAGGGTTGGGTGTACCTAGAGACGCGCTTAGGAAATCCTAAAATAAAAATATTGAATCTTTTAACATTAATGAAAACAAAAATTAAATTAAAAGACAAACGTTGGTATGATTGTAGTTTCTGTTCTTTCTTTTAATCAAGAATGTAATTTCTAATTGTTATGATACTTGTCTAAAAATGTGTAGGACACTTTTTAGAAGACATTAGTTACATCTTACAAAATCCTTGGGAATTTGATAATAATAAAGAGAATGAAGACGACAATTATTCCACAGTTTTCTGGTTACCACTGTATAGAAAAGATGAATTAGGAAACATGTTTAGTATATTTACTATGATGGTTCCTCTAGCTAGAGCTGTAGTGGACGCTGACAACCCTAGGTAACAAAGGAATTAAGTCTTTGCCACAAAGAGAATAGAATATATATTAGAGTGGAATTTAAACAATCCCTCGATATGAATTTTGTCAATCCTTTTCAGCCTGAAAGTGTACAATTCATGTAAATGTTCACAAATTATACGCAGTACATTACACTAATACAGTATGATCCCTGGATATATCCATTCCAATTTCTTTGTTTTATAAAAATAAAATAAATAAAAACATCAAATTGATTTATATCCAAACTTATACTGAAATGAACTCGGGAATGCATGACAGGCTATCAGAGAATTGATTTAGAGAAAATCAGATAATTTTCAAGAAAACTTTTCTATGGAATGATGTTCTAGGGCCCAAAAGGTTATATAGCACAAATGTGTTCAGTACACCTGCAGTATGGAAACAGTACAACAAAATGGCCGTTTTACATTTTTTTCGAGTAAATTCCACTCTAATATAGATTCTATTCTCTTTGGCCACAAACGTAAATTTGATAATTCTTATGTCTTTGCCACCTGATGGTGTAAACTTCTAATAATTTATCTTAAATTATTTCATCTTACAGGATTTTTAATTTGAAATATCTAAGGTCTACGAAATTGGGTTGCAAGAATATGGATATTAGAAAATCAGATTATGTGACAATGACGTTATAGTGTGTCCCAAAATTAAAAATGAATTGTTTTATAATGAACTCCAATATGGCGGAAAATTAAAAATGAATTGTTTAGCTATATGAAGAGCAGAGATAATGAACTCCAATATGGCGGAAAATTAAAAATGAATTGTTTTATAATGAACTCCAATGTGGTGGAAAATTAAAAATGAATTGTATAGCTATATGAAGAGCAGAGATAATGAAATCCAATATGGCGGAAAATTAAAAATGAATTGTTTAGCTATATGAAGAGCAGAGACAATGAGCTCCAATATGGCGGAAAACCAACAGCTGAACAGTTGAGAAAAAGAAAGAAAGCTGTTACTTTAGAGGAAGGTCCTCGTTCACCTCAGGTATATTTTTTTTCTACATCCAGTATTAAAAATTGTATGTATTACAATTTTTGGTGGCTACCCAAACCCCATATTTTGCGACCTTGTATACACAACCCCTCAAAGGTCAAAACCACAATCCCTTTCCTAGTATCTACAACCCCTTACCTAGTAGTCACTTACCATTTCCTATTAGTTTCTTCCCCTTTTTTAATAACCACACTTAAAACTACTTTCTTAGAAGTCACAACCTTCTTCTTCTGCTTCTATTAATATGTATGTTATAAATATTCAAACTTCAGTTTACTCGCAGCAACATGAGTGGCTGGCAGTACAACCTTATATTTCTTTTTTTTTATCCTTTTTAACAGTCTGAATATAGAAACTCCTCTTTACCCCACACAATTATCTAAAAGTTGCAAGCTCTCACGCGAAAATCCATAAGAACTTTGCCAGTTACTCCTTTTCTTAAATACTATTCGTGACTTATCAAAATCAAATACTTTTATTTCAAAACAACCTGTTCCAGCTGATGAAGCTAAAAACAAGTGCTTAATATTTCTATTTCTGTTAAACGGAAGGCTAAGGCATTGCAACATTTCAAAGTTGATTCTGTTCTGAAAATTGATGCATAATATTCGCAATTGTCTGGAACGCTGTGACCTATATAATTAACTGATATTCCCTAGAAATTATCAGGAAAGCAAAATAATTCTAATTAAATTTACTAAAGTAAAAACCAGAATTTGAAACAACATGCAAATTTTAAATCCTTATCATTTATTTTTTCACTCTACATTAATTATTTAATGGTTTTCCAAATATTATAAGACCCATCACTAGTATTCCTATATTTATAAGTTTGATGAATTCGGAGATATCTTAATTAAAAAAACGATATAAATGTCATCAATTGTATGACTTAAAAATGTAGAAACCCAAATTTAATCTCTAAATCAGGGTATCTATTAGGTTCCAGTTAATCAATTTAATCTCTAAATCAGGGTATCTATTAGGTTCCAGTTAATCAATAGTCATTGATGTTGTAATGAATCTAGAGATTTTATTCTCAATATTATTACTGAACCAAAATTGTCCTTATGCAAGTTTCCTTAAAGGGAGAGACTGGCTTTGTATCATATTTTAACTTAGAATACAGAATTGTAGAGAAAAACTTTAGATTTTATTTGATTACAATGAGGCATTTTTACGGTGTAAATTTTTTGAATAAGAGCGTAAAGTCGTTTGTAATATTTCACCACTTGTTTCAGCCAGAAGAAGAAACGATAATTGTTTAGGACAAAACATGTAAAAAAATGTTGGGGACTTTTATTTTATAAAGAAAATTATCGATAAAAGCCAGAGTAGAACCGTAAACTCGATGACTTTGTTATCATCTAAACCTTTTTTGTTTTCATCATATAATTCGCAGATTTCTTCAAAATGTCGTCTTCACAATTAAAATAAAGAAAACCCTCCAACAGCGACGATAGCTGATGAATTTTAATAACTTATTTTTAATGATATAAATTATTATTTTACTCAATCTGTTCCTATTACTGACATTAGCTTTGTCCATGTGATTAACAAATTGGAAAAAACGTTTCTTCTGCTGGGTGAAACAACAGGTGAAATATTACTTAACGCCCCTATTTAAAAATTTTACACCACAAAAATGTCATTGGTATTAAATGAATCCTAACGTTTTTCTCTACAATACTGCACTTTCAGCTCAACTATGTTATATAGCCGGTCTCCCCATTTAATAATCGTCTGACGGTCTAAAAATTTTAATCAAAATACATCTAATCCATGTAAAAATGTATGAAAAATAAAAGCTACAATGGATATCTGTACATATAATAAAGCTTTTTGCAATTTTTTTAATTAAAAACTTTTTTAAAATATAAGTTTAGATGACATTGCTGATCTTGCTCTGGATCGGAGCAGGTTTTGTAGGATTAATCAGGTAAAGGAGATCAGAGCTGGGAACTTTTGTGTGGAGTTTCCTTAATCTTGAACTCTTGTTCTTGATATCCAATGTGGGCACTTTTAAATGTTAATGCCTTCATATTAGTTATCTCTGCAGGGTCTGACAAATACGGGATACCGAGGAAGAATTTATTTAATCCCTAGGTCTTTAACCTTGTATGGGATGTCTGTAAAGCTGGAGATATCAAGCTTGATCTTGAGATTTACAACAGTTTCTACTTCTAGATAAATCAATTTTTTCTTTATTTTTTTCCAAAGGATTATATTAAATTCTCTTCTATATGTAGTTGTGTAAACCAATAAATCTGAACTTGGGGATCAATCAACTATTGCCTCAAATTCAAAGGTTGCCAAAGTAGATATCGAGATTAAGTATTGTTGAATGTAGATTTGTGCTATCTTACACTCAAGTATTGATCTCAATAGATTCTTTTGCTTTTTTTAAAATTTTGTATTTTATGTCTAAATTATTGCTAAAAATGTAAGCATTAAAAGTATCTTACTTATAACAATTGTAAATTCTTTATGATTAATATAATTACTCTACTTTCTTCTTGTTATGATCTTGTTATGATCTTGTTATGATCTTGTTATGATCTTGTTATGATCTTGTTATGATCTTGTTATGATCTTGTTATGACTGTATGATTTAAAGATATAAAAAGTAAAATCAATCAAAATAATGGAACTTAGATTTTAATTTGATCGCAGACTTTGGATATTTTATAACATAACATTATATCCAATACACTAAGTTTGGAATATCAAAGGTTTTCTCCGATATGTTGTAAAGATATCTGAATTAGAAAATCTGAGAAAATTTGAGTTCCTTTATCTGTAGGTTTGGAGACCCGTATAGTCAATCTAAAAGATTACCATGGACAAGACAGCTCTCGGTCAGGTATAGTTTTAATATTTTAAAGATATTAAAAAAATGTAAAATTATAATATATATCTCTGCTTAACTGTTTTAATCAAATCTCCATGGAGTAATTAAATTCTAGTTCTACGGAATAACATTTTTTTAACGACTCAACAAGCGTTCTTTAAGAAATAATATGTATGATAAACCTTAAAAATTTAAAACTGCTTCTCAATATATCTTTGATTAAAATTCAAAGCTATTTCCGGCCTGAATTCCAATTCTCTGCATTTTATTGTGAAGTCATAATTTTGAAAATTTTCATTCACAAACTAAATTAATATTATTTTTTTAAAGATTTTTTTACATGTTTCGTTAAAGTTAATTTTTTAAAAAGTCCTTCCCGGACCCCTTTAAATTCTCTTCATGTTCTGAACTAATTAGTAGCATATCTAGGGGTTCAAATACTCTCAAAATAAACATCAGATACTGATAAAAATAGTACCAATATATAAATTTTATTTAATTATTTATTATAATACACCTCTCTAAGGACTACTGGGAACACGAGCAGAGAAACTGTGATTACAAGAGATGTTGATGTTGCATTCTGTCAGGAACAGAAACCTTCTCTTAATAAATTTTTCGCAAAAAAAGTTTTTGCTAAATTTTTTCTAAAGGGGTTTTTAAACCTATAACTCCAAAAAAACTGGACTTTCAACAGATAATTTTTGAGTCACTTTCCAAAATATGTTGGCAGGGTTATTGTTAATCAACGGAAAAGTATTTATGCAAATATGATTCTTGCTGAAACAAAAATTGAATAAAATATAAGAATAAGCTGGTTTTAACAGAAAACAGATATTTTGTTAGAATTCACTTTTAAGCTAAATATGCATACAAAGTTTTTTTAAACAACAAAGGTTTTTAGGTTTATAGTGAGGTAAGAACTAAGAATCAATATCAAGTTCATAATAGGATAAGATAAACAAATCTTTTCAATAAACAATGCATGATCTAAGCTGAAATGGAATTGAGTCTTTGACACAATCTCTGATTTTATAATTTCTATATCTTTGCAAAACAATGTCTTAAACCTTAGATATTTTCTGTTATGAATTCCGTTAGATTTAATAATCTTAGTTAAAATATCAACGGTTTCCATCGAAATATTTCTTGTACAAAAATTATGCAATAATTGCAAAATGGTTTTCTTATGTTTCGAGTAAAAAATTGCACTAAATTTCGATATAATTTCGCATAGATGCGCAAATTCTGAAGAAAATCTTGGTTTTGCGTTTTTCGTTTCCTGTTATTTCATTATTTCTACCTATTTCGTTAATTTCGAGAAACGATTTCAAGAAGTTAATTGATTAATCACTCACAAATTTAAGACAATTTGGTCCAGCCGACGGAGATACATGGTAACAAACAAGCAGTCGGACCAAAAATAAAAATGTATACATATCTATAAATTAATGCAAATACATATCTATATTAATCTATGTATGTTTATAAATTAATGCAAAGATGTGATGAGTATGATTGAGAGACGCACCTCCGTGGCACCTTTTAACGGCGTTTTTTTCAAAACATGTTTATCATGACAAATTTTATTAATGAAAGTAATCAAAATTTTAACAGTGTCTAAACTATGAATATGATAATAATGTCATTATTGTCCATGAACAAAATACTGCAGCATTGAATGCATTGTTTTTTACTGAAAATAGTTAATGTCTTTTCCTTATTTTCGAATTTATACACCACTGTTAACACAAATTCGAAATATAAGGAAGACGATTTTACTGACTCTGATGCCGTTGCTTGTTTCAAGACGTCCTTCCCCCCCCCCCCCCCATCCCTCTACACCTCCCGGCCCCGCAGTCAGATTGAAACACTTGAGATGATCACAACTCTGTCTCAGGGAGCAACCCTGGCTCCTTCATGATTATGATACAGATACCTAGCTAGCAACAGGCCAGCCCAATTATGTTCCAAGAGTTCCAAAATTATCATGCATTACAGAGACTACATAATCGCTCAAATCCAGCATGATAAAACCGCGATCTCTCCCCCTCCTTATCCAAAGCCTGGGGTGAGCGGAAACCTGTTGTTCCAGTTCCTGTCGATCTGCACCACCAACATGAAGTTCTATAAAACTCCCATGATGTTACTACTGCTGTTTGTCAATAATTTTCTTTGTTAATTTCTAAAACAACCAATTTTAACCATGTCTTATGCAAATATTTCAAAACAATTTCGTTTTTAAATAAATGTTAAGAAATATCCATTTCAAATCTCTTTGTTTTAATATAGTGACCTTTAAAGTCAACAACCACATTTTACAAAAATTCCAACTTTTCGTTTTCACGAGCATTGCCCAATTTCGAGCAAAATCATGAAAAAATTATGACTTAAATTCTGTATTCATGTGCAATTTCGTGCAAAAACATTTATTTATTTTTAATTATTGATACGAAATTGATAAGAAATTTCGTGCAAAAGAATCATTTCGTGCAAAAACACGAAAATATGAGTTTGTAACAAGATTCAATTCCTTTGTTTATAAACAAAAGTGGTTTAACTGGATACGGTTTGTTAGACTACTTCGTCTTTGTTGCCTATCTCAACATTAACCAGTAGTAGTCAAATAAGGTTCACCTCCCAACGATCTTTATTTTTAGAAGCTGAGTCCAGTTGATATCTCTCTCTGGATTCTTTTGGTTGGGATTCCCCTTATTTTTGGTATGTTTTGTTTGGGATTCCCCTTATATTTGGTATTTTTTGGTTGGTATATCCTGTATATTTGGTATGTTTTGGTTAAGATATCCAAATATTTATTATGTTTTGATTGACAATTTTAAATTAAGCCCCACAACACTTTTCAAAATCATTTTTAAACTGGCGCATTCTGTAACAACTTTGCAAAAATACTTTTTTTGTAAAACTTTAAAGAATTATGCTGATTCTTTCAAAAAAAAGTTTGAATATTTTGTCCTCGTTTTTAAACTGTGACCATTCCCTAAATGATTGACTCTAGGTCCTGTGTTGACCGGGTTCCTGGAGATATTCTTCCAGCTCAAGCGTTGTCTGAGCAGACCCCCACATCCACCAGTTCCACGGCGGAGAGGATTATGGATTTTTCTATTCCTTGTATCCGCCTCAATATTCTGCTCATACACTACAAACCTGATCCTGTCTGCTGCAATCCTTCCAACATATTTCAAGGTGACCCCTTCCTAACCATGCACTTTCTGATCCATAATAATCTTCATTTTTCTAGACTAAACAGTGTATATTTCTGACAATTTCTTTCACTGCTACTGAAACAGAAATGCGCAAGTCATTTTATAGTGAAACCGCAAATGAACAAAAATAATTCTGATAGAAAATGTTGGTATATCATGCTTTTTTGATCAGACAAAGCTTTGAAGAGTACCGTTGTAAATCCAACATGACACTGTCCAAATGGACAGCCACTTGAAATTACGTCTACAGCCTAATTCTGAACAAGTATTTATAAGAATTTTGTTGGGGAGTTCTTCATGACAATTAAACAAAATAACGTTTTCACTTTGGTTTCAGAGAATGAGTTAAAGAAAAGAGTGTTGTAATCCTTTATATGCAGACAAAAAATTTGCTTTTTTCTTTATTTAGTGTAAACGAAAGCTAAGTCGCACTGAAACATCATTTATGGATTAAATTCTTCCTTATGTTGAAAATGAGATTGGAGTGACTACGCGAGTCTTAATAAAGATGAATTGTGTCACCGAGCTTTTGAATTTGAGATGAACCCTTTGATAGGCTCTAAACTATATATAAAAAAATAAAATCTGAATAATAATAATTTTTTTTCAGTTGACCTATTTCCAACTACTCCTAATTAAATATGTCGGAGGATGGATGGATATCTTTACATTTCCTATATTCGTTATTATGACGGATAAAAATATTAGGTAACTTTATAATATATATTGTTTTATGGTTTTAAACTTTATGTTTTTCATGTTTTTTTTGTTAATTTTCATGTTTGCATGGGTTTTTCTTTTTTTGCGTTTTTCTTCTTTTATGTGATTTTTTATATTTTCATGTTTTAAGATTTTCCTAAATGTTTTTAAATTTTTTTATATTCAGGAACTCAATTGTGATTGTTTACACCCTAAGGCAGTCCAAAAGAATAAGAAAAGGATCGAACGGAACAATCACATATGTTTAGAATTATGTAAATATGTTTAAATGAAAACAGTAATTTTGGAATAAAATATTTTGAAAATTTGCATAAAGAAATGACATTAAAATAGGAAGAATACAAAATGCTTGGGAATCCAGTTTTTCTTGGAAACTAGACATAAAAAGAATCTATTTTTGCCACAATCTAATCCCTATATCTTTGCAACCCAATGTCGTGGAACTATAAATTATGTCAGATCAAATAATCTAAGTTCTTAAGAATTTTTAAACCAAGCAAAGAACATTCCTTTGGTTCTACCGAGTTCCCCAATCAAAATTTGAGGCAAATCGGTCAAGGCATGGGTGCATGTGTTATGACCGGGCATCAAACAAACAAATACCAAAACAAACAGAGATTACTAGTTTATATAAATAGATGATAAGTGAGAGAAAGCTGTAAGAGTTAAAGTAATAAAAAACCACATGTACCATCGAGTAATGGTCGTTTAAATTCTTATTTCTTTTAATCATTGCAATTTAAAACAATTTTAAACAAAGCATTTTACCAATTCATCTTAAATAAAAACTAAATTTAAAAGTGCTTTGAAGTTCAAAAATGTACATGACCAAGGCTAAAAAATAATACAAGTAATTTAGTGTGACAAGTTCAAAGGCCAAGCCATTGCAACACTTCAAAGTTGACGTCTAGTATTAAAAATTGATGCAAGTTTTTATAGCAGTCCTAAAATTTGAGCTTATTCTGAATAATCATTTAAACCAAATATTCATTTCAAGAAAGACGATATTTACCCAATTCAATTCTTAAAAATGTATTCTTTTACATTATTTAATATAATCTTGTTGTTGCTTAAAAAAAAGATGAAAAAAGAGATATTTTCTGCCACATCAAGATTAAAAAATGTCTCAAAACTTGTTTTACAGAGAAAGCCAAGAATCCATTCTGGAGTATTAAAAGGTTGGCGCTTCAATGAATCAAATCTTATCCATAGAGGGACAGTCGACAGAATTTCAAGTAACCTTCCACCAAAAAGAGCGGTATGCACTATTCACAACGGTATTCTCAATCTCTTCGCTTGAGAGGAAACAAGATGAAGCAATCAGTGTTCTTCTTTATCAAAATTTAGTATAAAGTACAATTTTGATTTCTCTATATAATGGATCTAAGGAATATATTTTGATTTCTCTATATAAGGGATCTAAGGATTATATTTTGATTTCTCTATATAAGGGATCTAAGGATCATGTAGCAAAACAAGAAGACTTTTAAAATTTAACACTTCACAGAAACATTACGATACCTTTACATTGCTTTATAATACGGTTAATATGATGGGTACCGTTGTGAATCCAACAATTAAACTCTTTAAACGGTGGATCGCTTGAAATTTAACCGGCAATAACTTGAAGACTTGATACCACTACAGTAGAGTCTTCTTTCGTCGATTTGAGGAATAATAATGGAATATTAATAATTTTCACAAAATTGTAAAAAATTTTAAAATAATGTTCAAAGTATTAAATCAATTTGAATGTTTAACATGATTACAGGGTTACTATAAGTAATAATTTTGGTCTTTAGAGCAACACTTAAGCTTAGGTAATCAGGGGCGTATACAGATGCAGGGGGGCCATGGGAGCTAAGTCATCCTAGGAAAATAAACTATGATGATGCAGTTGAGATTCAACCCCCAACTGTGACTGAGGCTCTCCCTGGAATATCTAAAAAGGTAGAACCCCCCATTTGATAATTTCCTGTTTACGTCCCTGCTAGACAATATAGGTTTAAATACTATCCATATATTCATGATAATACAAAACAAAGCATGTATTCTACCTTTGATGTCTACATCAATGAATATCCCTGGTTTGCTTTACTGCATTTTCAAAACAATAACTTAACAATCTTTACAATATTTATATTCCACCTAAATGTCATAATGTATTAATCTTACAAAAACAGACAAGTTTATTATTACATTTATTATTTGAAAGTTTATCAAATACTAGCTGAAGTACCCAGCGTTGCCCGTGGAATTTCAAAAATGTCCATTTTTTTAGCGCATGTCACCCATTGCGGGTTCCCATTTTTTTTCAGCCAATTTGGCACAGCCGTTTTGCCAGCTATAACAAAGAGCTTTATAATATAGAATTAGTTTATTTGATTAACAAAAATCAGTTAGTAATTTGTAACTATAATTATTTTATTTTTAAAGTATTTATTAGTTTTTATTCGTAACATTTGAATTACTGTTTATATTTGTAACTTAGTTAATGATTTCTGTTTTTTTTATTTTTTAGTTGTGTTCTGCATAAATCATTTTCATACCTTTGAAATTGATGGAAATACCAAGAAATTTGTGCAGACTTCATTTGGAAACAAAATTCCGGTCAATTTTAGACATCAAAAGAGAGAAGATCTCATTTCGAGATTAAACGCGTACAATCTTCTTTAAATACAATCTTTGTCAGTACACACTGTTTCTCATCACTGGAGCTGCGAGGAAACAAAGTCGTAACAGATATCTCGCATAAATGTATCTTTTATATCTTATTAATAAAAGACTTTTAATTCATTGTAATAGCTTTCCTTTTCCTGCTGGTTCTCCACTAGTTCCAAAACTTTTATCAAACTTTTCAAAAGTTTTGAAAGTTTAAATCTTAAATTATCATGTCGTCGCTTATCCGTCTTCATCCCCACGGGACGGAGTAAAAATATCAAGTGTTCCCTCACCGCTCCTCCACTTTTCAATAGATTTATTTCAGGGTTTTAAATCCATAATAAAACCATTAGAGAATTTATATATTAAACAGATAAGAAAAGATGTGAATTTATGTTAAACTTATACTTGACACACTCTTCTAGACATGAAGGAGGCAGGCATTACTAGTATGACTTTGTGGCGTCGTAGTTGCTCTATTTTTAACTATAAGCTCAAGTATGAGCATAACAAATTTATTTGATTACATCTTATAGATTAAAAAAAATAAAACAGTTTTGTTCTTCTTCAATATAGAGGAGTTATGATTGTAAATATGTAAGATTTGATAGAGTGTCACTTCGTCAAATTCCCAAAAATGTGGTGCCTAATTTTAACCGATAGGTGTGCGACATAAATTGACCCATTAGGAACACGTAAAAATAACTACAATTTGAAGTATATCCCACTCCTGAACGCCGAGAACATTAGCGCCTGATACACTCAGGGTTCAGTCATGTGTTTGGTGTCTATTCTGAACTAATAGAAATTGTATGGCGGTAACATCTATCTTTCTATCTATCTCATTATCCAATTTCATATTTTGATTTCTCATTCAAAATGCGTCAAAAAAAGCGTATACAGACTTTATATACTTAAGTATTTTTAAAACATAACTCAAAAGTAGAAAAAGAAAATCCTAAAAATCTAAATTTAATGGATACAAATTTTGGTCTAAAGTTCAGACTAACAAGATAGAACTAGAATTGTTTAATATAACTTATTTGATTAATATGGTTATTGCATGCAATATTTCATTTGCCGTGTGCAGCACCCTTAAAAAATAAAATATAAAATCAGGTAAGTCGTTTGGAGACAGTGATTTAAAAGCATAATCTCGAGTCTAAATTCCAAATATACCAACTCCAACATGTGACCCGTGACTAGAGTATACACCGGAAATTCCCTTTCCGCCGAAAATTTTGTTCTGGCGGAAAAAGGGTGCCGGAAACTCCCTTTCCGGCAGAACGTTTCAGGCGGAAATAATTTTTCCAGCGGAACCTTTCCAGCATTAAAGTAAACCATTTTTATCCATAATCTGTGGCGTGGCCAGGATGACTAATTTATCGTACATACATTTAATCATCAGTATATTGTTTCTTTTATTATGAAGTCTAAACCTTTGAATGGCCTGAGCTTGTAAGAATTAAAACATGCAGTTAATTCTGCAATTTGATTATTTTTACTTTAGAGTATTTATACTATGAGGCAGGACATAATGATTTTTAAACTTTTCCATAAACAATTTGAAAAAAATCTAATAATAAAACTGTTAACCTTTCCTATATACTGAATTTAAATTTTCACCGGAAGCAGAAAATTCCAGAAAATTTTCCGCCGGAAGCTGGATATTCCAGAAAATTTTTCCGGCGGAAAGTTTTCCGGAATTTCCGGCTTCCGGTGGAAATTTTCATTAAGGAAAATTACCGGAATTCCATTTTCCGGTTCATCTTTTCCGGTCGTTATAACTTCCGTCGAGGAGAAAACTCATTGGACACCACATCAATAACAGAATATCATGAAATCCGATTTTTTTAATGAACATGTGTATAGAAAATGTTCAGGATACAAAGAAATTTAGTTTAAACCCAGTTATCGTTAAATACTAAATTGCTAAAATGTTGTTCTAAATTATATGAGTAGATTGATAGGGATAACTCACACATTTAAATGCTCAATATTTTGAGAGAAGAAATATCAATGTTCTCCCTTATTATGCTTTAAAATTGCAAGAATTAATGCCTAAAAATTCTAGCACCTCTGGGTTATCATAATTTTCAGTTTCGTTCCGTATTTCCTTAGTATGATCTGTTTAAACTTTGATTTGAATACCATATCATATAAATTAGAGTTTTATATCAATTTCTCGAGACAGGGACATCAGATAGAACTAATATTGGTCGCAATGAACGCCTACAATTTCTAGGCTACTGCCTAAACCCTCTTTCATTTACCTGAACCGTCCCTAGAAACACAGAATGTCCAATTCCAACCCTAGTGTAGAGGATCCGGAATAATTAATCTAGTTTTGTGCATTGGTGTATTGTGGAACCATGTTTTCTTCAAGTTCTTGCACCAGAGTAGACTCAACCAAAATATCTGATTAGCTCCAGATCTATCTAGATCCCTTGTACCATCATAATGTTAAATGTATTATTTATTTTCGGGAATGACTGCACATATAAAAAACAAAAATATTTGTAGTTCATTGCAAAAAATGAAAAATGATTAAAAGAAAATTAACTATAAAGGAACGCCAATTTTCTAATCTCTTTTATATTTTCAAACTTATGGTGTGAACCTTTCAAAAGTTGATTTTTTTTATCTAACAGAACTTATAGTTTTAAATATCACAGGTCTAGGGCATCGATTTAAAAAGATACAAAAAGAAGAGGTTGTATTTCGTTCATTTGTTCATAATACAGTAAATAATTTTATAACTGAATAGATGATTCAAATTTTCTCTATTTGTAAATTTAAGGATCCTTGAACCTTAGTTAGAGCCAACATAATAAACCTATAAAGTTTAGAACATCTAGCAATATCGGCTTAACTTATCCGAGCATATACTTAATTCCTTTTCAATCTATCCTATCCATCCTATCCATCCTATTCATCCTATCCATCCTATTCATCCTATCCATCCTATCCATCTTATCCATCCTATCCATTCTATCCATCCTATCCATCCTATCCATCCTATCTATCCTATCCATCCTACCCATCCTATCCATCCTATCCATCCTATCCATCCTATCCATCCTATCCATCCTATCCACCCAATCCATCCTATCCATCCTTTCCATGCTATCCATCGATCCTATCCATCCTATCCATCCAATCCATCCTATCTATCCTATCGATCCATCCATCCTATCCATCCAATCCATCCAATCCATCCAATCCATCCAATCCATCCAATCCATCCAATCCATCCTATCCATACTATCCATCCTATCCATCCTAATCCATCGATCCTATTCATCCCATCGATCCCATCCATCTAATCCGTCCTGTCCTAGTTGTATCCTGCTATGCGGTATATTTTCGTGACCGTTCTCTTTGAATATGCAAATGATTGTTATAATATGTCACTGGCTCAAAATATAATTTTGGGATTTTTGAAAATTTGAAGACGTCAACTGCGCCCCAACGCTCGGTACAATCTTCTTTTTAACAGTATACTTCAGTTTATCGAATTTTTTTCATACTTGATTTTGTGTAATGTATACTTCCACGCATGTTCTAACGATATTTTTTATCATAAAGACCATCATGATATATTATATAAGATCAATGATCCCTTGATAATATATCAGAATCGATACACTACACACTACGGAGCCTGCAGCCTATTTGAATATCATCATCTCAATGTTACACGAGAATATAAACCCAGCGGCCTCTTGCAAATATGTTGGATCTTCAGACTTATCCCCCGGCCTCCACCGGGCTGGGCCAACCCTCGTAGTCCTCCTCCCGAACCGTCGTCCGTACAGCCGGACCGGGACACTCAGCTGGTCGTCCGTGCTGGGATTGTCGGCCTGAAATGGCTTTGAACGTCGTGCCGCGTCGAAAGTTCAGCTGGATGAGGCTGCAGCAGCCTCTAGTTCTTAGTGCCAGTCACAAGTAAACTTACGTACTTGTACGGCCATATATTCGAACCTTAACCGTTGAAAATGATAAGGGTTAGGCCTTGGTGACAGGGAATACCGACTCTGTGAACACCCCTTGGGAATGCCCATTGTGAAATTTTAGACGAAAACATATTTTTTCTTTCCAAATTGAGTTGTAAAATAAGATGAGATGTTGTGGTAAAAAGTTATATCTGATCTAAACAACATTACATCTCCCAGTAGTCGTTTATCTGTGACTAGTCATTTGTGAGTAATTTAGAGGGAATCCCAACCAGGACGAAAGGAAAAAAGAAAATAGTTTCAGGACGGAGATAACGAATATCCAAGACTGAAAATCTAGTGCCAGAACGAAAATCTTCTTCCGGTATGGAGAAATTTGCTCTAGGACGGATTTAGGCTGCAGTACGGAGAAACTAGCACAAATGTAAGTCAACATTCTAATAAATAAAAGTAAATTCTGTAGGATAAGATTGTTTACAATGCTATTTCGCATTACAGTTATTATAAATAACATAAAAATATTTTTTTCTAGAAGTTCTGAGCGTAGATTTTATCAGTAGTTTATAAATTGTTAAAATGGCACTTTTATCTGAATCGCATTGTGCTGCTGATACAAAAAATACAACATGTCGTAGGTTTGTCATAGAGAACGCTTTTCGACCCCCCCCCCCTTCTATCAATTTTGTGCATGACTTCGATTTCAACAATTTTTTCAATAAAATTAATAAAGTTTATTTAGTATTATTTCGTGGTTAGGTGAGATTAGGTTCAGGTATTTTCTGGACCGAGCGCTGCGGCTAGGAAAGGCCTGGGGGCTGAGGGCTGCGGCTAGGAGAGGCGGCGGATTGGGGGAGGGTCCAATTAGCGTTCCCTAGGAAATTACCCATGCCGTTTTAAAACATTTTAATACAGACAATATTTAGATTATGATTGAAATATGTAGGAACACAATTGGAAATGAGATTTCAATATATAATAAAAATGTCTGCAACTTCAGACGTCTTTTTGTGAATATTTTGTCGAGAAATGTTTTTCGTCTTGATATTTCTCCAACTTGGAAAAATATGTTTTCCTGATATAATACGTGAGGGAAAGGCTTTCAAGGCCTGTATTAACTTAAAATGTAGTTTTCCTTATTGCTTAGAAAATATGATTTCTGTTGTATTTAACTTGATATTGAGTCCGCCATGTTTCTTCAAACTATTGAAGTTTGCACCTTGCCTCAACTTCTGCAGATTTTCCAATATATTTATTTTTATTGCCAATTTCCTTGCATGGTTAAAGGATACTAAATTAAAGGGATTCATAGCGATTTTCAACTGGAAATCTTTCTAAATTCTAAAAATTGTGATGAAATACTCTCTGAAATCCGATCAAAGTAATAATGTGCGATCAACTATCATTCATCTGAAATCAAGGCCAATTATATGTACACTGTACAGTCTCCATACGTACAGTGTACCTACAGTTCTATGTAAATATTGCTGGGACAGTACAATATTGAACGAAAACAGCATTTCTGACATTCACAATTTTCGAGGACATTAAGTTACAAGCTTTAATCAACGAATTTTGTTTTTGGTCCGTAGCATGAAATCCGTGATAATTTAAAATCTTAAAATAAAAAATCTAGAAAGTGATATAAATTATTTCATGAAATAATTTGTTAATATTGTAAATTATCAATCTAATTTTTATTTAATTTAGTGAAAGTAAGCTGTTTGTCTACAGTTTACAGTTTGTTTGTTATATTCTATCCACTGCACACTTTGCTACTGAAAACATTAAATAAAGGATTAAACGATTGCAGGGATTTAAACCGGTTTCTCTAACACCCCATTTCATTTAAAGAGTATTGACAAAAAAAAATTTACGAAATACAAACGTTTTGACGGACGCTTTTTAAATTAAACCTGTCCTAATCTGAAGTTTAAACCTGTCCTACTCCTGATTCATCCTGGAGACTTATCCTGTCCTACTCCTGCTTTATCCTGGAGACCTGTCCTACTCCTGATTAATCCTGCAGACTAATTCTGTCCTACTCCTGATTAATCCTGGTGACTTATCATGTCCTACTCCTGAATAATCCTGGAGACTCCTGTCCTACTCCCGGTTAATCCTGGAAACTTATCCTGTCCTACTCCTGATTAATCCTGGAGACTTATCCTGTCCTACTCCTGGTTGATCCTGGATTCTAAAACTGTCCTACTCCTGAGAAATCCTGGAGGCTAATCCTGTGTCCTAGCTACTCCTGACTATCATGCAGACTAATCCTATACTACTCCTGTTTGATCTTGGATAATAAAACTGCAGTCCTACTCCTGGTTGATACTGAAGACTAAAACGGCCCTACTCCTGACTGGACCTAGAGTATAGTGTGTCAGCATCTTGAAAACACAAGTACCAGGATAAATTATAGAAAGTCCTTCAACATACAACTCATACAATACAGACTTGTATACGGGTTAAAAGTCACAATTTTATCTTAGAAAAAATAGAACTCATGATTTAAAGTATAACATGTGTGTCATCCCCCAAACTTAATGTGATAAATTATATAATTACAACTCCAAAGACCAACCAATTTGACAATACTAATGATACAAAAATTTAGAATTATTATATAAATTAAGGTTTTTGTCTGAAAAATATAGATTGCAATTGCACTAGGGCATTTCTCTAAACACCAATTTTTATTTGTCCGGGTTCCTTTTTTATGCTGCCTTGGTTCTTGCAATTTTTAACTTCCTATTTAAAAATACGTCTTCTCCAAATCTTTCCTAATATATTTAGTTTTAAAACTTTAAATGAATTGTCAACACACTTTCTTGTCACAATTATTTTTTCAAAGAATTTGTGTTAGCATTAAAATCATTAGAAAGATAACATTTTTAGTTTAAAATATTTAGAAAGTCGCTAACTTTCCTCTGATAAAAATACGTTCTTTGAGGGGTTATAGGATAAAAAATCTAATTTATTAAAGATAACGATAATATTTTGTTTCCATCTGATGTTTCTGTTATTTTTTTTATAAAAAATATCTTGGAAACCCAGATTTGCCTGGAAAGTTTTCCCTGTAAAAGTCAACCAGCTCAATTGAAAAATTTAAAAGAAAATTTATGTGGTTCTAAAGAGTTCCCTAATCAAAATTTGAGGCAAATCGGCAATGGGTTTGTTTGTTATGATCGGACATACAAACAATCAGAGAAGCAGAGATCAGTATATATATAATATCTAAATATGTAAATGCGACGTTATCTAAAAGTATACTATACTAAGCTTTCAGGGCGCTTCGCGCCTATCTTTTTTTTTAATTGTGAACATTTTCTCTTTGTATTCATTTAAAACAAAAACAAACGGATTTTTTAGAGAAAATGTCGTGGATTTTCAAAATTTAATAAACTTCGAATTTTGTTGGAGGCTAATTTTTGAAATTTTGATTATCCATAAACCTTCCCTGGGGTCATGTGTTCGATCGGTTTAGCCGTTTCAAAGTTTATTGGAGACAAACAAACAAACAGACAGACAAGCAAAGTATATATATATATATATATATAGATTCAACCAAGTTTTTTTTCTTTTCTAAATTACACTGGTTATTGGCAACAAAAGTAGTATTAAGTTTAATTTAAAATGTTTATTCTCCGAGTGCCATTCCGTGTACATAAACACACGTTCATTATAGTAGTAGGGAGAAATAAAATAGGAGAGGAGGGATGGTGTTGATTACAGTAGGAAGAAATAGAAGTTTAAGAAGAAAATTTTAAACATTAATATCTAATCCACGCTTGATCTAGCAAAGCTTTAAGGGTTCCGTTGTTAATCGGGCATTGCCATCTTTTTATGGAGGGTCACTTAAAATTACACTTACAGTCTCTTTAAACTGTTAAATCTTTTCTAAATTGGTGAATCTAAGATGACCTTCTAGACTCTAATCAATGCACAACATTCCTCATTCCAAAATAATTAGTTAAAAGAGGAATAAGTTAAATATTCGACATTACTTTTCTTACACGGAAAATAAACATCAAAGAAACTTTCTCCACATTTTCTTGTCAAAATTGAAAACATACAGATGCATTTGTGCAAAACTTTTGTGACATATTTTTTTTCGAAAGGAAATTTATGTTATTTTGCGACAGAAAAAAACTTTTGAGTAGTTACCATTTTGAATTAAGAATTTTCTGTAAAACCCGAATATATTTGAATGTTAAGCCCTAGGACATGTAGCTCAAACATATTTGTTTACCCATAGAGTCTTGGTTCTAAACTTGATAAATACACAAAGTTTGAACATTTTAAATGTTTAAGATCAGGGCTTAATCTTTAGCACAGGTTCCATACTCTCAACGGCTTAATCACAAATTAAATCTTAAAAATCTGTCTCGTAGCTTCTCTTTTTTTGATTTTACGCACACAAACTGTCGATTACCCTTTAATAAGAAGAGTATGACTTAAAACCAACGAGGTTATAGTGTATAGAGTGATGATGTAAGCTAATCCTTTACTAATTGTATAGGCCATCAACTATACCGAGAGCGTACTGCATATTTGTGTATTATAAGTAGATTCTGGCCTATCCTATAGTATATCAATATTAGTAAACAGTTGTAAGTGTAAAGTATAGCTAGCTGAGCATTCAGGTAGAGAACTATCATCCCCCATGAATAAACCATATTCAGATTTTAATTTAATGTGCAATTTATTTTAGTATGCATTCCGTGAAATCGTTTCAGAAGGCTCATCCTTATTGGGTAACCCTGTTTTATGGGTGTTCTTGGTGTACATTTCTTGGTTTTTTATATGTGAAATGTTTATCATTGCATAAATTTCTGGATTGCGCATTACAAAACATAGAATTATAAAAAACAGATTATGGATTTTCCATTTATTATATATACTAAAGTAAACATTATAGAAAAGTCCAATGAGATGTGGTTCAACCCTGTGTGTACACACATGGTTGAACGCAGCAGGTTAACACTGTACACTGTTGTATACCCGGATATATTCCATCCACGTATCCACCTTTAGACGTGTAAGCTCTCAATCTTAAGCTAAAAACTATTATTTATTGGAAAATTGTCTAGATATTCTTGTCTAGATATTCTTGTCTAGATATTCTTGTCTAGATATTCTTGTCTAGATATTCTTGTCTTGTCTAGATATTCTTGTCTAGATATTCTTGTCTAGATATTCTTGTCTAGATATTCTTGTCTAGATATTCTTGTCGGGTTGTAACTATGTTATTCCCAAGATCTCTATGAACTCGTTTCATATATCTAATTTTATCTATGATATTAACGATCTCTGTTATCTCTGGGATCGCTTTGATTGATATGATCTCTATGACGGTAAGATCTCCAAATTCTCTATGATCAATAACTCTAAAATATTTATGATTTTTAAGATCTCTAAAATATC